AGCCTCAACATGACATGGAACTATCAAAGGTCTGACTGCAAAGATTCTGATTCAGCCAAGCACTATACCCTTTGCATGTAGCTCCCATAACTATGTGAGAGGTAGGTATTATCATCTTCATTTTACAGAGGAGAAAACTGGAACACAGAACACATACAACTTTTCCATGACACACAAGTGGCAGAGCTGGGCTTTAAACTTGGCATTTAGCTATCTTGAGTTCTGATTTGCATTCCTTGGGCCTACAGCCATTGAATAAAAAGGGCTATTTCTGCTTCACTTGGTAGACCACAGTACTTATGAATTTCAGAATTGTTATTGTAGGGCGATTTTTTGATAACTAATGAGACAATGGCCATGAAATGAACCAGGAAACAAAATTCCAAGACATTAACAACTTACACAAAAGCAAATGGTCTTTCTTCAGTAAAGGCTGCATTAAATAAAATCCACACAGATTTCTCTTAAACAAGAAAACGCCTTCTAAAGAAGCCATATTGCTTTCTGTGACATACAATTATGAAAAAAATAACTATTGTTCTGTAATGGAGAAAATTAAAGTTTAAGAAAAGCAACATAGTTATACCAACGACAGAAAAAGTATATCTTTAGGTAGGTCACCGTGCAAACTTACCCCTCGACTTTCTCCGAGCACTTCCAGACCTCACCATTGTCACTGTGTTTCTGTGGCCTTGATAAAGAAGTTTGGAAGACAGAATTGATGGTAGGCAAAACTTCTCATTTTTAGTGCTCTGATTGGTTTCCTTTATTGCATTTATTGTCTTAAACTGTGAGACTATCATCAGCCTAAGGAGCTGCTTTGGTCCCCTGATTTGGAAAATTATCTTTAATTCATTGCAGACAATGTGGCACCTTTTTATGAAAGAAAGAGCAGCGAGCAGAGAGTAAGGTTGGGGATGCTCATTATTTCTCTGTGTCCCCTGAGAACTCCTCCAAACTCAGCCTTCTAAGAAGCATACACCTCCCACCCCACACACCCCACACACATAGGACCTAATTTAAACTGAAAAAGAAGTGCCTAAATACTACTATCAATGTGGCTTTGTAGAACAGAAGTTTAAATATTAATAAATCCCATGCATAGACTCCTGGCCACCACTAGCCAAAGTTGTAGGTAAGGACTATTTTCATCTAAGACTTGCCATCTTCAATTTAAACATTTTTTTTCCCCTTTTGTTTTTTTTTCCTGCTACCCTTTATCAAAAGTTACTCACACTTGATCTTATTCTCTCAGGTTTAATTGCCTGGCCTTCCCCAACTAGAACGAAAGTTCTCTAGGGACCTTGGACTGCCTTCTTCACTGGGGGAATCCCAGTGAAGAGCCCGGCACATGGAATAAAAGAACAAGCCCACCTATGTCATTATGTCAATAGCTACTCGAGGCTTAAGTCAGAGCTCGCAGAGCCAGATATGGCCAACAGAAAGGTTGCCTGTTGTTCAACAGGGTATTTGAAACCTTTTTTTTTTTTAAAGTTAGGAACATTCATTTAAAACCCCTAGCTCCTCTAGAAAAGGTGGAAGATCTGGTAACAATAGCAAGTGCCTTCGCTCCCTTAAATGGGGCATGGCCTTCCCGGTTCCCTGTTCCCTATTGGCTTTCCTACACTGAGACTGGGTGAGTTCTAGTGTTGAGAAGCTAGGAGCCAAATTTTAGAATATAGGATTCTTAGACTTGGTTTACAATGACCCTACTTGATATTAGAATTTGAGTATCTATAGCTCCAGTCTTTAAACATTTTTCTTTCAGGTAATGTCTTTTTGTTTTACTTAGAGCATTTTGAAGACTTAAAATATACAATCACATGGATAGAAATTTCACACATTGTGGCAGGGGAAATATTTAGGTCACACCATGAAGGGTGCTGCCTTCTCTGCCTGTACATAAGCCCTTTGCTTAGGAAAAATTGAGATCTCTAGGTTCTTCTCATTTTCCTGAGGACTCTTTTCCTCACACCCTCAGAGATTATACTGTATGCATCACATCTTAGTAATACCTCTTTTTACATTTGAATGCTGTTTTTTTGCGGTTTTTTTCCCCAAATAACTATATTCATAGAGCTATTGCAAAATCTTGTCTAATGCTTGATTCAGTTTGGGAAGGGTATTTCTTGTCACTAAATTTGTATGTAATGATGGTTTGACCACAGTCTGCTTAGCACAGCATTGAATCAGCCAGTCAGAAACCATCTGGTAACAAAGACCAGCAGAGGTGCTCCAGGAATATCACTCAGTCCTTGGAATAATTTTCCTCTGGTCTGGCCATGCATATAATTAAGAACCACTGAATAAGAACAAACTACTGGTTTATTTCACATTTTGGGGAACTTGGTGTAGCCTATGAGAGACATAGGTCACTTCTCTATATCCGATTTGCTAAGAACAAGATTAATTCACAGAGATTCCTGCTAGGAGGATGGGGGGAAATTATACTGCAAAAGAGAGCTGTAACTATGACTTTGCCCAAAATGGTATAGCTCTCAAAGCCAAATCATTTTAATGTAAAAGGAAATCATATTTGTTAGTTGACATTTGCTGGGCTTAGAGAAAATAGTGTACAAGTTTAACCTCACAGTCTTCTTTAGCCTATCTTCATATTCTAAATATAAAGTATGTTTAGGAAACTTAGTGTCTCTTCTTTTTAAGTGATCTTTATCCAGTACATGCATTTTTAAGCTAAAATAATTTATTTACTGTATAGGCACTTTCCATGTTTAAGACACAACAGAAAGCAAGCCAGATGAATTTGCTGCTTCCCTAGAGCTTCTATTCGATTGTCATATGATAAACAAATGAATAAACGAATAGTCTGTCAGGTAGATAAAGGCTATGGGGGGAAAGGTAACATGAGGAGATTGGGAGGAGGTGAGGGCAGGGTGTGTGGCAGGGGGTGATCTTCTGTTGTGTGAGGTCAGAGAAGGTGATATTTGGGCTGAGACGTAATGGAGTGAGGGGGCTGGACATGCAGAGACTGTGAGCAGGGTGTCCCAGGGAGGAGGAGGGCCAAGTGCGAGGATCCCCATTGCATTCGCTCAGTGTGCTCAAGCATCGGCAAGGTGGCTAGCGATGCAGGGAGGGAATGAACGTGGGAAAGAGGAGCTAACGTCACGGAGGAGCCAGGCAGCAGATTTGCAGGGATTTCTGGGACAGTGTAAAAATGTTAGAGGTAATGTCCAGGGTGATGGCAAGCTGTTGGAAGCTTTTGCGCATGGGAATAACGCAATAAAATTTACATTTGAGGGGCCGGCCGAGTGGCTTAGTTGGTTAAGAGTTGGCTTAAGAGCGTGAGCTCTGAGCAACAGGGCTGCTGGTTCGATTCCCACATGGGCTAGTGACACTGCACCCAAGCTGAGCTGTCACTGAGCTGCCAACAGGTGGCAGGATGGCTCAGCTGGTGTAACAACAAGGTTGCCTGTTTGATGGTAGGCTACACCCACCCGCAACTAAGACTGATCTTGGCATCTTGAGCTGAGCTGCCACCCAGATGGCTCAGTGGTGAGAGCGTATGCTCTTAAAAACAAGGCTGCTGGTTTGACTCCCGCATGGGATGGTGGCTACGCCCACCCACAACTAAGATTGAACACAGCATCTTGAGCTTAGAGGCCATGAGCTGCTGACGGGAAGCCAGATAGCAACTGGCGCCCTCCACAACTAAGATTGAAGAACTATAGGACCGGCCAAATGGCTCAGTTGGTTAAGAGCTCGCTCAAGAGTTTGAGCTCTGAGCAACAGCGGTTCGATGCCCGGCCCGAGCTGAGCTGCCAAAAAAAAAAAAAAAAGAAAAAATATTGAAGAACAACAACTTGGCTGGTCCCCTTCCCCAATTCCCCAATAAAGTCTTTTTAAAAAAAATTTACATTTTAGAATAACTGACGAAGTTCATGTTGATGGACTTATTGAGCATATATTATGTGCTAAGCACGTTACGTGTATTATCTCATTTAACCTTTCTGACAGCTGTGTGATAATAGTCACTGTGGCATAGGTCTCTCATAGGACAGATGGTACAGTAACTACACAGTTGATGAGTAACTTGCCCTCAGCCTCACAAGTAGTATGTGGCAGAGCGAGGTTTAATAAAATAGTGATCTTTTAAAACCCTTTCATGCTTTTCATGGAATATCATAATAGGCCCTAGATATGATTGATTTTTCCCCCCATTCATTTTTATATCCTTATAGGCTTAAATGAAAGGAATCTTAGGGCTCATAGAGGTTATGACTTGCCTATTTTTTCTGGACATTTTTTTACATGTAAGAGTGGTATTATACAACAATATTATCTTCTAATCAGAAAAAATATGTAAAAGAAACACCCAATTTGTTAAATCGTCCCTAATTAAATTGTCCCTAGGGAGCACTGGTTCCTAACCTGTAAATTCAGAATTGTAATCTCTGTATCATTGACTTTCTTAGTAGTCTTAAGTACTTTTTTCAATACATTTGAAAATATTATTCTGAGAAAGGAGACCATAGGCTTCCCCAGATTGCCACAGGGCGGGCTGTGAGTGTAAACAGACTGTGTGCAAGGACTCCGATGAATCTGTTTGAATCTGAGCAGAACTGCTGCACATGGTACTGGGTTTGTTATGCTTAGGGGAGGGGAGAAAGTGCTGAGCACATCCAAGGCTCACAAAGAAGCCATCTATACCCAGGGTGACCTCATGGACCAACCTGGCCGGGATCGTTCCGGGGTATGCTTTTGTCCAGGTGTGATGCTTCATATCACCCCCTTTCATTCCCAAAAGTGTCCCGGTGACAACATGAGTTATGTGACTCCCATTGGCTGTAGCTGTTACCAAGAAAGCAGTGGCAGCAGATGGAGCAAGTAGCGTGCCATCTGCAGGACGTGTGATAGGAATGGCCAAGTCCTGGATTCAGGCTTGGCTGGATAATGAATCGGTATAATCAAAGTTGCAAGATTATACAAAGGATATTACGGAAGGAAATACTGTTTTAATCATAGTTACTTCTCTTCCACAGCCAAAAAAGAGCATAAAATGGAAGAAAGTCACTTGGAGAATGCACAGAAAAGGTAAGCTGCTCTGACTTGGACCTAGTTCTTCCTATGACTAGCCATTTTTATTATTATTATTATTATTAGTAGTAGTAGTAGTAGTAGTAGTAGTACTACTACTAGTATTAAGTATTACATCCCACATTGCTGTAAACCATCAACACCATTCATTTTCTGAACTTTTCATCTTCTCCAAAGGTAACTCTGTGTCATTAAACCACAATTCTCCCTTTCTCCCCTTTTCCCCAGCCCCTGGCAACCACCATTCTACTTTCTGTCTCTGTGACTTTGACTACTCTAGTTACCTTGTCTAAATGAAATTATACAGTATTTTCTCCCTTTATGACTTGCTTATTTCGCTTAGCATAATGTCTGACTAGCCATCCTTTTGGCCCCATTTGTTAAGACTGTGCTCCCATGAGCAATAACAGTATATGGAAGGCTGGATTGGAAGCAATGTAACAAGACTTGGGGATATTTTTCCCCAAGAAGCAGGGGATCCCCCAGAAGTGACTTAACCTGCCTCGCGGGTCATGACACTATTTTCACCTGTGCCTCCCCTCCGTTACTCTGCCCCCGAACCACTTCATAGGCGTTAGGAATGCTGTGATCCTTCTCAGTAGTACAACTGGATTGAACCAATTATTACAAACACCTAAGAGACTTAACTTTATCTTTCCTTAGATCTTAGAGCAGAGGCTCTCAACCTTCCTAATGCCGCGACCCCTTAATACAGTTCCTCATGTTGCGGTGACCCCCCAACCATAAAATTATTTTCGTTGCTACTCTTTAACTGTAATTTTGCTACTGTTATGAATCGTAATGTAAGTATCTTTTTGTTTTCCGATGGTTTTAGGCTACCCCTGTGAAAGGGTCGTTCGACCCCCAAAGGGGTCGCGCGCGACCCACAGGTTGAGAACCGCTGTCCTAGAGGGTAGGGAGAAGGGGCTGACCTCTCTATATGAAAAACTCCCTCAGAATTTGGAAGAGACCTCAGAGGTCTTCTATTCAACCTCTCACCTATGCCAAGCCACTTGTTTGCTCTTCTTTCTCTTAATAGACACCAGAGTGGATCCATCCACCTCACTTAGCCGTGGTCCCCAATAATCTCTAGCTGTGGTCCCTCATAGGCGTTTTTCTTTCTGTCCGTTGGCCAGGTTAGTCAGCTTGGCTAACCCTCCCTCTCAGAAGAGGGAGTGGAACCATATTGAGACTTCTCATATTCAGCACAGAGAATTGAGATAAATGTTGCTGGTACCAATTCTAAAATTACTAGAAAATTAAATAAGAGATAAGAGCAGGAAATAGCATTTAAAGAAAAATGAGCTTTACAAATGTGTGAGGAGTTCATTAAATGTAAATGAACAAACTCTAAAAATAAACCCCTTTCCTCCTGAGAGATCTGAAAGCCTATAGACCAGCGGTTCTCAACCTGTGGGTCGCGACCCCTTTGGGGGTCAAACGACCCTTTCACAGGGGTCGCCTAAAACCATCGGAAAACAAAAAGATATTTACATGACAATTCATAACAGTAGCAAAATTACAGTTATAGAGTAGCAACGAAAATAATTTTATGGTTGGGGGTCACCGCAACATGAGGAACTGTATTAAGGGGTCGCGGCATTAGGAAGGTTGAGAACCGCTGCTGTAGACAGTGCTGTCTGCTCTGCTTGTAGATCGGCACCAATATCTTGCCAAGCTTCCCACTATAATTGCCAATAAAATTATAATGCAGATGAAAGTGAGGTTAAAGCAAATCTTACCTTTTTCTAAGTGCAGACATGTTCTTGAATCATAATTATCATCCTTGCATGATAATCTTTGAAAACCAAGACAATCACATGGTTATGTTTTTAGATTTTTATCCCCCTTTCTTGGCCTTATCCATCCAGTAAACTTCCTTTCCTCAGTAGGTCAAAAGCAGTACGTCTGTGTTATAGAAATATTCAGCATGTATAAAAAAGACCATCAACAAGGGCACAAGAGTGTCAGGGCAAACGGAAATTCATTCTCTGGGATAGATGTCAGAATTTCTAATACGTCTTCACGATTCTTGCTTAAGGAAAAGGGGGCCCACCTTAGAGGGGCTGAAGCTGCTGCTGTGCATTAGCTATGCTGAGGGGGATCATAAATTCTGGTTGTCAGCGTTTTCCGTGACTTTGTGGTGAAGGTAGCCTAGCTTTCATGTCATACATGAAATATGTTCGATCCCATCTTTAATGTAGAAACCACAGTTGTTTGGTTACACTCTTTCAAGAGGTTGGTGGTCAGTGTTGCAATATTTGTGTGAGATTTAGTAAATTCTTGTGTTTGATTTTCAAGAGAAACAATTTACTCTGAGGCTAAGGAATATTTGCTTTTCCTAAGCAGTTTCTGAAGGCATGCATGTAAAACAATAAGCGGATGTGTTCCGTTCTGGCATGTCAACCCTGCAAAAGTAAAACCGTTCACTTTGCTACGGGCTCTTTGATATAATCATTGTCTGTACTTTACAAATGTTTAGCTAAATTAAAAAGATACAAATCTGACAAGGAATCGTAGCAGGGAGAAAAGGAGTCAGGGAAATAGTTTCAAGTGAAGTAAAAACATTTTGTAAAGCATAACATATGATCAGAAATCTGTCTTTTAAAAGTTGGAAGCTATTTTAGAATCATCTGCTGACAAACAGAAGTTTCCAAAAGCATGATTGCCCCTTTGTCTACTGGAGAAAATGCTCCTGGCCATTAAATGTTGATAATTTTGATGCCCAAGTGTCAGAAGGTTTTCAGTCATCAGTCTTCTGTGAATCAAAATTGAATTTGAATGGAAACGAGTTTTGTTTGGGGAGGAGAGCGTTCTAGACTTAATCAGATAGTGGTAGGTTCACAGTCTAGCTTTTAGCTGCCCCTTGAAGAAAGGAATTGCACTGAAATGAAATAAGGCTCACCCTCAGAGCAGCCTCCTCTCTGTCACAGTTGCAGAGTGTCAAAGCCAGACCCTCCTCTGGTTCTTCTGAAGAGGTTCGCTTGCTTTCTTAGTTTCCAAAACACATAGGGAAAAAAAAAATGCTGAAATTCTGTCTTTCCTTTTGTTTTCACCCCCTTCGAGGGTTAGCAAGCAGGACCTCACCATTCCCCAGAGGGAGAGGTGGTGAGAGTACATGGTGAGCTTCAGTTTAGAGCTGGGTAAAAGGGGGGCCCACACGACGATGACATGCTTTCCTCAAGCTCTGTGATAACCCACTGAACAACGCTGTCACTCTCTGACACTGCACCAGTGTGTGCGCTATCTTGGTCTCACAGTCTAGACTCCACATAAGGCCAGCGGTGTTGGGGTGATCCAAGGAGCACAATGACTGGGGTTCCTGTGCTCTTCACTGTGTCCTGCTGGGGTGTAGGGAGGTCATTTGTTCCTCTGAAGACTAAAAGTGAAAGACAGTCTCTTCTCTGTGAATGCACAAATAAATGTATTTCTGCATAGAAGGAGAACATGGGAAGGAAAAGTAATGATGTGCTCTGCTGGGGGTAACGCACCTTATGTAGGAGATGGATGGGGTGGGGGGAGGGAACGGTGTCTAAAGCGGAAACAAAATAAAGTAACTTTTATTTCCACTGCAAATCAAGGGGACACATTCTGCCAATGAACAGGGACATTCAGTCTTTCCAGTTCTCCGTTTTCTCTTCTGTAAAATGGGAACACTGGGCGAGTTGACCTGTAGGTGCCTTCCAATTCTAAAGCCCCGGGACTCTGTAAGAAATTTATGGCCTGTTCCTATAGGTCACATAACTCCCTACTTATGTATTTCCACTGCTACAGTCAATATAATCTTCATTTTGAGTGAAATAAGCTTATACACCATAGAGTGTACAATTGGTGTTATCAGTATTTTGCCTGCCACAGGATTAGGAGGTGGGTCTGGATGAAAGTGTACATTGCTACTTTCTTCCATTACTGCTTTTGCTCTAAATATATGTATGTTTGGAATTATAAGAGAGCCCCTTAAGAAATTACTGCAGTTATTGCCTTTCTCCACTTATACACTTCCAGTCTTTTAATAACTGAGACCCAAAATTCCCTGACCAGTAGTTTTAATTTGCATTAAAAACAGATTTATTATTTACAGAAGCACAAAGAATTTATGGGACTCAGAGCTGCAGCTCCAGCTTGGATCTTGCCTAATCATAGCCATGGAATCAATTAACAGTTCATCTGTGAAATGTGATAAAATCTTATGAGATACATATTGACCAATAACTGAGAACGAGATGAAAGTATGCTCCATGCTAGTAACGGGGCTTCAGGGTTTTACAATCCCCATTGAATAGAGTTCCATTAGGAACTTAGTATTCAGGATGACCGCAAAAAAAATGCTGTGTCTGAACAGATGATAGAGCATTGAGCAGTAATAAACCTGGCCAGCCGTTCCTGCTTTGATTAGTTTCTAACACCCTAGAAAAAGGGGCCATTTATTTAATGGTTCTTGCTCATGGCAAATGAGCTTGTGAGACTTGGGGTGGGTGAGGGTGGAGGGGGCGAAGATTGAGTGCAGAGCTATAAATTGCTGCAAAGCTGGTGCCTCCAAGAAGGGCTGCTTGGGAGGCCCAGGTAGTCTGGTGTGCAGTGAGCCTCCATGGGGTAGGTCAGGGGGTTCTTAGTGATATCTGGGAATCTACTTTGTAAGCCCTGGACCAGACTGGAGGTCATTTCTTAAGATCAAAGATGGTTTTTCATCCGAATCTTGCTATGCCCTCAATCATACCTGTTTTTGTACATTGGTGGCTTATATTCTTGTATCATATGATGCTTTAAAACATAGCCTCCTTAAAGATCGTGGAGGCTAGGTCTCTTATTTTAGCCTTGAAAAAAATTCAGAGAGTTCAATGCTGAGTGATTGACCCCAGATTACAAAGCCAGCGGATGCCAGAATAAGGATAGAACGGTCTTGATTTTCCATGAAACACTGAACGGATTAATTATTCCCCAATGGACTCTCTAACTGACCACCGCTGACATCACAGAATCAAATGTCATCAGCGTTCCATGTAATCATTAAGCCAAAGAACAGGTACATGACATGCATTTGAGATGGAGAACAAGCTCAAAAAAGTTTTGCCTGCATACCCCCTGGCATTGTACTTGCTGGGTGTTCTATGAAAAAGATACATCTAGGGATATCCCCCATCAAGTTGAATTTCTTGGAAAAGCAGATTGAGAAAATAGTTTTTCTGGGGTTTTCGATAAGCCACAGTAACTCTGAGGCAGGGCTCGTGTGTGAGAGAATGGACATGTGGGAAGCTGCCCCCAGTGTCCCCCCTCCTCACCCTAATGGGTTTTGGTGTTGACAGCTTCTCACCCTCTAACTCCCTCTGTCCCCCTCTCCCCCTCATTGTAGTTTTGAAACGACAGTGGGATACTTTGGGATGAAGCCAAAGTCTGGCGAGAAGGAGATCACACCCAACTACGTGTTTATGGTGTGGTACGAGTTCTGCAGTGACTTCAAGATGATTTGGAAACGGGAGAGTAAGAACATTTCTAAAGAAAGGTAAGATTCTAATAGGGTCCTTGGCGAATCCTCCCTTGGGGAGCCCAGGAAACTGCCTTCTCAAACCAAACACAGTGTATGCCTTTCACACGCGTCAGTATTGTCTTTCAGACCAAGTGGACATCAGGAAGGATTGTTGCCTCAGGGCCCAGAGGGAAATTCGGGGGAGGCTTGCTGTCCACACAAGCAGATACACTCACGTGGTCTGATAAGTTACACTTTCTTAACCCCTTCCAATTACTAGCTAGTAAATGAAAGGGGAGCTGTGCTAATTTGCAACAGATTGCTTCTCTGCGTATTTTCATGTTGGCCCAGGCTAAATGAGGCAGCCTTGCTGTCGCAGACAGTACAGACAAATAAAAGTGAATGCTTTTCCCATTAATATACTCAACTTGCATCAAAGGAAACTCTCTGAGACTCAGGCCACACTTAACACAGTGTTGAAGCCCCGCTCTGAATTTACAGCACCACTTCTGACTCCCCGTATCCTGCTGAGGACATCAAACTGTGTGCCGCTCAGCCTCGTTGCAGCCTCCTGATTTTATTAGTTGGTTGGGGTAGAAGAAAAAAACCTCTGCTCTGAATATGGGGTGGGGGGAGAGAGGGGGAGTCGGGAGTGGGAAGTGGGAGAGAGAGAGA